AGTTAATGCTGCTCAATGTGACAGCACGCAGGTGATGGAGATTTACCGCTGATTAAAGAACCGGCTTTCTGACAAGATGCGCGTTAAATATCGCATGCGATTAATCGTGCAGCCCTACTTTAAAATTAAAACAACTATAAACTACAATAGTATCTCAATTATACTAGGTCACATTTCACCAAAAAATATAGTGATCCTTATTATCATAATATAATGCCATAATGCAAAAAAAGTCCTAATAAATAATACATTTTCTTTATTGAAATTGCTTAATAAATGTATAATTTTTTTTAACAAATTAAGCTTATTTTCAGGATGATAGTGTTTTTTTTAAATCATTACCTCATATTTCTTTCAATTTTTGGGGCAAAATATGACCCAGACATGTTTTGAAAGTTTCACATTAATTCAATATAAATTAAATGTCTCACTGCGTTTTCAACCCATGCAAACAAATATGGTAAAGAAGCAACAGTAAAGCTCACTTTCACTGATAACTCTCTGAGATTGCTCATTGTTTCTTGTGTGCAGTCTTTTGGTTTTGAAGTGCTGGAGAACATCCTTGATCTCAGCTGGATCTGAGAGTGGCTGCACAATCTCCTCCATCATCGAGAGGCCGCCACAAAGACGTGAGGCTGTCTGAGAAATTCAACATAAAATTTCAGATCAGATTCACCTTTAATTTTTAAAAAAATTATTTTTTTATTGTAGATGGACCGTTTACTTCATTTTTTTTCAATGCATTGTGCAGTCTTTCATCGAGGACACACCTCTTTGAGGCTGGGCACCGGCAGCAGGTCTTCCACTCGAGACAGGAACTCCCATGCAAGGCTCTGTAATACTGCATCATATCCTGATCCATATTCTACAGGGAAGACATGCTGAAGACAAAGAAACAGTGGAGAAATATGGAAAAACATTTAACAATTTTCATGCATGCTATAGATTCTCTTCACAGAAATGTGAATAGAAAAAAAGCTCTAAAAGACAAGAAAGAGGTGAGCAAATATAACCTGTATGAAATTCTCTTTCTTTTCTGCGTCCTCTAAAATGCTGTGCACCAATCTGATAAATTTGTTATTGATGATCTCACTTTCCACATCTTTACACTGCAACAAATTGAGAAAAAGAAAAAAAACAAGACACTGATAACTTGCTAAAACTGAATTTCTGTATATGTTTAGTGCAATTACAAAAACAACATTAATTACTTTGTGTGTGAGATTTCGAAGAGAATCCAGATGTGCTTGAATGATCCACAGATCTGGCATTTTATCTTTCAGACAAAGCTCTAATATCACCTAAAAGAAACAAAAACCCAAGTTACTTGTCTCAGACTGCAGTATTTCAAAAAATAATAATAAAACAAGTACATTAAATATTTTGCTTAATTATGACTACCTTTTTCCGCAGGTGAAAGATCAGTTTATTAACCAGACTTCGACTCATGATGTCTGGCACGGTCTCGGTCACCAGCACCACAAATTGCTCCAGCTTCCCATACTGTGTCACATTACGACGCTGAACCACCTGCCATAGAAACGCTGACATCAGCCGAAGAGGTGGCACAACCAGACGCAGTGCAGAGAGAGGGAGAGCTTGGGGGAGAAGAGGGGGAAAAACAGCATATAAATATCAGAGTATAATATAAAAAGATCTTAATAATTCTGATAAACTTTATTAGGATGCATTAAATTGTAATTTTGATTTAAAAATTATGAAAGATCAGTTTATTAACCAGACTTCGACTCATGATGTCTGGCACGGTCTCGGTCACCAGCACCACAAATTGCTCCAGCTTCCCATACTGTGTCACATTACGACGCTGAACCACCTGCCATAGAAACGCTGACATCAGCCGAAGAGGTGGCACAACCAGCCGCAGTGCAGAGAGAGGGAGAGCTTGGGGGAGAAGAGGGGGAAAAACAGCATATAAATATCAGAGTATAATATAAAAAGATCTTAATAATTCTGATAAACTTTATTAGGATGCATTAAATTGTAATTTTGATTTAAAAATTTAATTCTCGTTTTAACGAACTGAATGCACACACACATCAATTCATATAGACAATAACATTTTAGAAATGGAAGAAATCAGGTTTATAGTTGTGTTAACGCTAAACAAGTTAACCTGTAACAGGTGGAGTGCAAAAGTTACATGGCTCAAAAATAATAATTTGATATATTGCACATTAACCTTTACATGCATGCGGAGAACTTTAACTACTCTTAAATATTAAACACAAAGCAAATTAAATGTTGTTTTAAGGAGTAATTTTAAGTAATAATATGAATAGCGTTCTAATCTAACTAGAGTATAAATGTATTATGTCATTATTTATAATGCACACCTTTTAGAAATGTTTTTCTAACAATACAGTTCCAATAATGGCAAAGTAAAGAACAAAATATGATTATTTTTTTACCGGGTCCTTTCTAAAAATAATATAACCAAATGTGTTTTGAGTTGTGTGGTGTGGTGTGGTGTGGTGTGTGTGTGTGTGAGCAACTTTAATAGGATTGGTTGTGCTAGCTTCACTCTCTTTGCATTTAGCTCACAAGCTAATTAAAACTCACCTGCCTCGCGACTCTCTACGTTAAGGAGTTCCATTATTTAAGGTTAGAATAATTCGATATTTCTCTTTTAATCAAACTCTGAACGCATCGTGTCACAGAATTAAACCATAATAGCGGTTAAACGCACAGGCGAACGACTATCGTGAAGTTGACCGAAGCAACGAACAACAACGCTCATCCGCGATACCGGAAATAACCGGAAGTAGGTCTTTATTCCGCGCTTTTTAAACATGTTTGAAGGCGCACGACACCGCTTCAGGTCTGGCGGAGAACGGATGCGCTGTCACTGATGTAAGACAAAATGTGTAAATGTATAAATTTGCAAGTGATTAAAGGATACATGGCATAACAGATAAGTAAAATCCATCTTTGGAGTGTGACAAAGTGCATAAGATAAATAGAAATGCAATCGAGTATTATGGAACATTTATTATGGGGGAAAAATCGTGGAATTTGTGCTATAAGTTGTCAGCAGGTTAACGTTAGAGAATTTATTGTGTGTCTTGATGATGCTTCTTCATCTTACCTGAGTACTGAGGCCTGTTGACTTTGTATTTTGCTTTTTTACATGGTTTGGATGAACTGGAGCACAACACGAGAAAAAGTGAAGGTATGTCAAACATCATTCTTTCTTTTTATGTTTGTGCTTAGATGCATATGAATACTTATTACAAATCATTTTAGAATTAAATTAAAACGAATTAATTGTTGTGTATTCAAAAAAAATTTGACCTGATTGTGAAGGTCCAACAAGTCAGCCAACAAGTCAACATTCATGTAAACTCGGTAACGATTTACAGTAAGGTTCCATTAGTTAATGCTTGTTAATGTATTCACTAACATGAACAAACCATGAACAATACATTTATTATAGTATTTATTAATCTTTGTTAGTTAATGAAAATACAGTTGTTCGTTGTTAGTTCATGTTAATTCACAGTGCATTAAAGGGTTAGTTCACCCAAAAATGAAAATTAGCCCACAAATTACTCACCCTCAATTCATCCTAGGTGTATATGACTTTCTTCTTTCAGACGAATCCAGTCGGAGTCTTTCAAGCTGTTTAATAGCACTCAGCGGGTGTTGCATGTATCAGTCCAAAAGAAGTTAAATAAAAAGCGCCCATCCATAAAAAAAAAGTGCCTCACACGGCTCTGGGGGGTGAACAAAGGCCTCCTGTAGCTAATTGATGCTAAAGGAAGGAAACTTGGCTTCCTTTGCTCCTGTTAACAAACGTTGGTTTTCACGAGACTCACCGGCGCATGCGCAACACTGACCTCATACGTCATCCGCCCGGAGCTGCTTCCGTGTAGGACTGTTGGCGCAAGCTACATTAAAGTGATTATTACATTTTGAATATGGATATTTTTCTTATAAAAACGCATCGATTCTCTACAAGATGCCTTTGTTCACCCCCCAGAGCCGTGTGAGGCACTTTTTTTTTATGGATGGGCGCTTTTTATTTAACTTCTTTTGGGCTGATGCATGCAACACCCGCTGAGTGGCATTAAACAGCTTGAAAGATCAAAGACAATGTTTGACATAACTCAGACTGGATTCGTCTGAAAGAAGAAAGTCATATACACCTAGGATAACTTGAGGGTGAGTAATTTGTGGGCTAATTTTCATTTTTGCGTGAACTAACCCTTTAACTAATGTTAACACGCACAACATTTAATTTTAATAATGTATTAATAAATGTTGAAATTAACATTAGAAAAGCATCAAGTATTTGCTTTTTCTAGACTTTCATATACTTGCTGCAGTTTCTTGAGTCCAGATCAGTTTTTACAGAAGAGACCAGTAAACATTTTTCAGACAAATGCTACAAATAAACACTGCAAGTGTGTTGTAAAGGTTAGATTGAATGTCTAGGTAGAGTAAAATATGTGCATTATCTTATATATAATTAACTTTCTGATTGTTGCATGACCCTGAATGACTAATGTTTTTGTCCAATAATCCATTTAGCTTCCATTACTGACTGAAATATTATGTATAAAAAGTTAGAAATTGTCTATATACTGTGTCTCATATTCTGTAAATTCACGCACAACATTTAATTTTAATAATGTATTAATAAATGTTGAAATTAACATTAGGATTAATAAATGCTGTAGAAGTATTGTTCATGCTTAGTTCATGTTAACTAAAGTAGTTAACTAATATTAACTAATTAACCTTGTTGTAAAGTGTTACCATAAACTCTTTCAATGCTGTTAAAAGTTTTATGTTTTAATACCAGTGAATGTGCCAATGAAGTCAAAGCAAATTCAATATTCACATCATTCAATCCTGTTTAAAGTGCTATAAAGTGTGTCCTTGAATATGCACCAACACACATAACATGAATGAGTAATTCTGAAAATCTATAAGATTTAATCTAAAAACTAATCAATAGCAAAGTTGTAAAGACATTAGATTATTAAAGGTTTATAAAGGCCACATATCGATCAGAACAGACATTTATGATCCTGAACCGATGGCTCCTGCGCCAGTAGAAGGAGATCAGGGTGGTGTGGGTTAACAGCATCATAGCCATATAATTACCAACCCCCCTTCATATCATCAGAGACGCAGTGTAGTCAGACAGCCATTGCAGGGGTATCAAGAGAGTGCAAGAAATGTCGCAAATAAACATCGGATAGAGGACGGAGAATCTGCAGGTGAAGATAAGCGTGCCATGCGTTCATCCAAAGATGATTTATGGTGAAACGAGGGTGTGAATAGGCACTGGTGGGTTGATGACTGGCCGTAAAACACAGGCGGTAGAGATGAGGAAAGACGAAACAAAGGGAGGAGTAAAAGAGAGAGAGTGAAATGGTGGTAGATAAAGCACAAGACAGCGCCATGAGCTCTGTGCCGCCTTACGACTCGCTACCAGCTCGGCCAAGCCCCTGCCGTGCAAAAGAGTGGGAAAGAGAGCTGCACGGTGCTCAAAGACTGTCTTCCCCAATTCGACCGGCTTTACCTTCCATTTCCCGACGGCCTTCGGCGCTTCCTGGATATCTGCTCTCACCCTCCCGAGAGTACACTGACCAACAGCAACGTCTTTCGTTATCGCTGTGCTCGGAGGCCTCGCTGGCGCCCCCTGTGCCTGCAGTGGGTGCCGCCCCACCGTGCTGCCGGGCGGTGGGAGTCATGCCCTTGCTGCGCCTTGCACTCCTGATTTTCAGCTTCCTTTTTTGGGCAGCAGGCCTTGCAATCTTCACCCTAGGTGTCTGGGCGCAGGCTTCGTTGTCCGACTACATGCTACTCTCTGCGAACCGCTACCCAAATGCGCCAATCATCTTGTTAGGCACAGGTGCTGCTGTGACCGCTTGGGGCTTTTTGGGATGTTTGGGAGTGGCTGCCAACCTTCCTTACCTTCTGCGGGCATACGGCTTCTTCCAGTTGGCCACACTCATGGGTGGACTAGCGGCGGGTCTCTCAGGGCTCTTTTACAGGGAGGATATTGCTGAAGGTTTCCGTAGTGGGCTTAAGAAAGCTGTTTTGGACTATGGAGAAGACGAGGGCCACGCAGACGCACTGGACAGCCTGCAGAGGGCGCTTGAGTGCTGTGGCGCTGAGGGTTGGCGGGATTGGCTCATGTCTGATTGGGCTATTCAAGATGCTGTTTACTCAACAGGAAGTTTGGGGAATGATTCCTCTGTGTCATTACCAGACAGTTGTTGTATTAAACGTAAAGGCTGTCGCAATAGACCATTGCCAGAGAGTGGATTCAGGAACATCAAGCTCGCAGGGATTCACACTCACGGTTGTTTCCTCAAAGTCTTCAGCTTGGTAAATGACAATGTCTTTCATATTGCAGCAACAGTCCTGGGCCTTGCTTTCACCCAGGTGGCAGGTATAGCCCTCGCATGTCTACTTGCCAATCGTCTTTCACCCAGACTGCGAAGACGAGCCCGTTGAAATAAAAAAAGCATCAAGTATTTGCTTTTTCTAGACTTTCATATACTTGCTGCAGTTTCTTGAGTCCAGATCAGTTTTTACAGAAGAGACCAGTAAACATTTTTCGGACAAATGCTACAAATAAACACTGCAAGTGTGTTGTAAAGGTTAGATTGAATGTCTAGTTAGAGTAAAATATGTGCATTATCTTATATATAATTAACTTTCTGATTGTTGCATGACTCTGAATGACTAATGTTTTTGTCCAATAATCCATTTAGCTTCCATTACTGACTGAAATATTATGTATAAAAAGTTAGAAATTGTCTATATACTGTGTCTCATATTCTGTAAATAGTTTTTCTATTTATGGCCCATTAGATATGTTACACTGATTGTGAAGTGCATGGGGTTTCTAAACAGTATACTGATTTGCTTTTGAATGCTTCACCGGCAGGTAATTGTAATTGTACATTGATTATATAAATATTGTCAATTAAAAGAAAGAAAAAAGACAAAAATATGTATTGTTCTTAAAAATAAACATAAAATAATAACAATATTAAATTAATTTCTAATACAGAATGCATGACCAAGTGCACATGTTGTTGTATTAAACCTTGCTGTTTTAGTGACAATAATGTGATTATTCATCATTGTGAATTGCCACTTGCAACCCATTTCATTTAATATACTGAAACAGAATATTAAACAAGAAAAATGCATGGCTAAAACTTGGTTTTATTTGTTTATTGGGATCTGATTCCCAATCATTAATTTATTGGGATCTGATTCCCAATCGTGAAAACTGCAGTACTTAGACGAATGGAGCCAGATCGAATATGAGTTTGAAGAGCAGCAAATTAAAAACGTGAATTGAAATATGTGATTTTTATTTTCATATGTAAAAATATGTGTTGAACAACTGCATGCCAGCAGCTATTAACGTTGTAGACAATCCACGTTTGAACCCACTATGCACAGCTCTATCTGGTTGGGAGTTTGAAGCAAAATGGTGCATTTTATTGTACTTTTTAAAATGGATAGACTCTTGATTTATATTTTGGCTCCCAAAAGGTAGCTGACCAAACCTCAATCTGTGATTTTAAACATTCTTATTTATGATAGTCTGTATTTCTTTTTCACAACCCCTGCTGCAATTACAAGCGAGTGATGAATCATTGGGATCTGGGACAGTCAGTGATGCCTCTTTAATGGCCTGCCAGGTGATTGGAATTTATCTCAGTTTCAACCTGCAAACAACTATGATTAGATCCTTCAGACTACTCTTTCTGTAAAATGTATTACTGCAGATGGTGCATGGTAATAAGATTATATAGATAGATAGATAGATAGATAGATAGATAGATAGATAGATAGATAGAGTTGTTGTGGTTTTCTGTGTGCTCAGTGTTGAGTCATTAATCCATCAAAGGATTATGTTCTTGAGCAGAGCTGCAAACGGATCACAGTGCAAGTGCAAGACAAACTGTCATTAGTATCAGAATGGCCCAAAGTGTCACGCCACTGCAAAGACTTAAGTTCAACAACGTTGCATTGAAAAAACTCCCGTTGGATTCGTCACTAGAACCGGGCTCACGGACCGTGACGGGAGCGTGTTTTTCCCGTGTTCAGCCGCAGCCTCTGCTCAAGCCCACATTCGTCGCGGTATCGGAAGCGGCTCTTGCTTTACTGGGACTGAACGCGGACGATGTTTTATGTGACCCGCACGGGGCTGAATATCTAAGCGGCTCTCGGGTGATTCCGGGCTCTGAGCCCGCTGCGCACTGCTACTGCGGACACCAGTTTGGTCATTTCGCCGGGCAGCTGGGTGACGGTGCTGTGTGTTATCTGGGGGAGGTGGAGGCCGGTGCTGAGCAAAGTTCTAACCCGATCAGCACAAGCCCCTGTGGTCGGTGGGAAATTCAGGTTAAAGGCGCTGGACTGACGCCTTATTCTCGGTACCGTTGCTTTGGCTTCACTGCATTAAGTAATAGGTTACTCTTTATTTCCCTTTGTCCTTGTTACAGTGTAATTATACATTTAAGTACTTAGTCATTTTAATTAACTACATGTGCTTACTATATTGTTAGGGTTAGAATGAGGGTTTTGTTTATTGTTAGTTGCATGTAATTATGCATCATTTATTGTTATTACTATAGGAAGTACATGTAACATGTAGGATATCAATAACACCTTAATATCCACTATTAAGTGTAATAATACTTGAAAGGTAGATAAATGCTTTTTGCATTTTGGTCTGTTAAAAATAATAAGAAATTTATTATGCATAAATGTATTGCAAAGATATACACATTTTATTAAAAAGAAAAGCCATAATTTAGGCTTTAAAAAGTTTTAATATTTGTTTATTTTATATGTAAGTAGGTTTATGTAATGCATTGTGTTAACAAAAAGCATATGTTCTCTACAGAAGACAAAAATGAAATGTATTTTTCCAATATTAAACATTGTGCCACACTCCCATTTTACTCTCCAAAAAGTATTTTTTGGATTGAAACAGTGTAATTCTTAAGAACATGACTTATGTGTTGTATGTGGATTTTAGAATCTTAACAATGGCTAGATTGTGGTCTAACTCAAGTTGATCTCTCTTTCACTATGATTCTATGAATAATGAGCCAAAATCCACTCTTAACCCATTACAATAGATGTATTCATCTACCTTGAAATCCTAAAAGGGATAGTTCACCCAAAATTAAAATTCTTTCATTCACGTTGATCCAAACCTGTATGAGTTTCTTCTGTTGATCACAAAAGAAGATATTTTGAAGAATTTAACCAAACAGTTGCTGGTAGACATTAACCAACAAAAATGGGTAAAAAATGTCCATGTGCTTTGTTTAAAAAAAATAAGCTTTAGTATCTGCGTATATTGTAGGCAGTCTGATGGGCGTAAAGTGCTCCGCTCCAGCATTCGAGAGTTCCTGTGCAGTGAGGCCATGCTTGCATTGGGAATTCCCACAACACGAGCGGGATCACTGGTGACCTCTGACCTTTATGTCCAGAGGGATGCCTTCTACAGTGGCAATCCCAGACCAGAGAGGTGCTCAGTGGTTCTCAGAATAGCACCCACCTTTATCAGGTTGAGCAATTCTATTTATATCTATCCTCAGACACACATAGAAATTAATTTCTCACATTACGTTTCCATAATCCCAAGCTGTAAAAATGAATTTTGTAAAAATGAAGTTCAAAATCCTGAAGTTTGCTAAATAAAGAAACTATTTATTGAGTTGTACAGCCTTAATACTGGGTTTAGTGTCAGCAAAGGATGTAGAGAAGCTGTTTAAGGGTACTGCAGGTCCACACTGAGATGTGATAGATCTCTCACGAGGCCTTTTTTAGATGTTACTCCTGTCCAAGCTAGTCCAAGTATTTTAGAGTATATAAAGTCTTAATACCTAAATTCTGCCATCTACCGTTTGAATATATCCCTAAAACATTTTTTGGCTCTGAATTATGAGATCTACTGAAATTGGTCAGCACTTTTAGTTTCATTAAATTGTACTGAATGTTAGCATTGTACCCTGACTCATAGCTCTCTCTATATTTCTCACCAGATTTGGATCGTTTGAGATCTTCCACCCTGTGGATGACTTCACAGGTAGACATGGCCCTAGTGTTGGACGTACTGATATTCGTGCACAACTTCTGGATTATGTCATTGAAACATTCTACCCTGAAATACAACGAAGACATTTAGATCGCCAAGCGAGGAATGCTTCCTTCTTTAGAGAGGTTTTAACAATAATATACATTTTAAAAACAGGCTTCACTTTATCACTATTACCTTAAAACAAGAATTTGTATGTACTCTCTTAAAAATAGACATTCCAAAAAGGGGTTTTCACAGCAATATCATAAAAGAACCATTTTGGTTCCCTAAAGAACCTTTCAGTGAATAGTTCATAATATAAACTTATTTTATTAGTGTGTAGAACATTTTAATAATCAAAATAACCCTTTCCCACTATAAAAACCTTATTTTTATATTATTTTATATTCTGTGGAACTGCAAGGTGACCGTGAGGACTGCCAAACTGGTTGCCCTGTGGCAAAGTGTGGGATTTTGCCATGGAGTTCTCAACACAGACAACATGAGCATCTTGGGACTCACTATAGACTATGGCCCATTTGGCTTCATGGACAGGTTTGTTTAGCTCTACAGAAACTGTGCTTTAAATTGCACAAAAATACAGTAAATGCAACCGAATTACATCCTGAAAGAAGTTGTGCTTTTACTAATTGCTTGGTTTATTAGTGTATTCTAAAAAACTACATTGTTGTTATTTGCAGGTTTGACCCTGAGTTTGTGAGCAATGCTTCTGATAAGAAAGGCCGTTATTCTTATGAAGCTCAGCCATATGTCTGCCTCTGGAACTTGGCACGTTTGGCAGAAGCTCTTGGCACGGAGCTCCAGTCAGCCAAAGCAGGGGCCATTTTAGATGAGTTCATGACCATTTATCAGGACTGCTACCTGGACATCATGAGGAGGAAGCTGGGTCTTCTGAGACAACAAGAACCAGAGGATGTGGAGCTGGTGGCTGATTTATTGAAGACTATGCACATCACAGGTATAGTGAGAGTGAGGAGATATTTCCGGCTTTCCGTTGAATAAAAATGGAAAGTTGGATGGAAGTTGACTCAGATTACTCAAAAACAAATTACTTACCTAATATTTTCATCTATCGCTGCTCCAGGTGCAGACTTCACAAACACATTTCGTCTGCTGAGTGCCGTGTCCTGTCCTGCAGGAGAACAGAAAGACAGGGACAGCACAGACTCAGTAGTGGAACTGATCGTGGAACAGTGTGCCTCGCTGGAAGAACTAAAGGTGGCCAATCATCCTACAATGCAGCCCGGTATCTGCACCCTCTCAGTGTCTAATCTTCATACTAATAAACAATTTAATGTATTTTTCACCGGTTTCATCGTTTATGCATATCGACAAATATGCAGTTTTAATTTTTATTTTCAGACTGTGAAGTGCAAGAATCTATTGTTTTGAGCAAAAGTGACCAAAATTAAATTTCCCTGTACTCTGCATTCTTCTCTTAATGTGATGCTGTCAGCACATTGCAAGAAAGACAAGGCAAGAGAATTGGTATGTTGTCTGAATGAATTTGCATTGGTTTGTCTCTAGCAACTTTTAAATAGCTTGAGACAATGTTTTAAAAAACATCTTTAATGTTTTTGTTTTTTTTAATGTATGCATATATTGTTTTTTTATTCATTTTTTTCGGTTTTAGTTATTTTAGTATATCAAGTTAAACTAAATTAATATGAGAAATGTTGCCTTTTAACTAGCTTAAATTATTTTATTTGATTTCAGTTAACGTTTATTTCAAGTAAAGAACATTTTTATGGTTTTAGTTTTAGTTACAGTAACTGTGATTATTGAACCATGGTTGAGACCCCTCATAATTTCTTATGTTCAAAAGTAAAAAGGAGGTTTGGAGATACTTAACACCTATACTATGTTTTCCTTATTTTCTTTCATTTGTTGTACCTCTGTGTCCATTCTTAGTGAGTTGGAGATGATTCTCTCCATGGCTGAGACAAATCCAGGTATGTTCAACATGGTAGCCAATCAGCCAGAGGTCGCCAAGCAACTGGAGAAGATTGGCAGGCTGAAGGAGCTTCTCGTAATCAATGAGGTCGAGCTAAAAATAAAGCAGAGAGATCATTGGCAGAGATGGGTCAAACAATACAGGTATAAATACATATTCAAGATTCAAGCTTTTATTTTCATGTATACTAGGTACAAATTCTTATTTTGTTAATAAATAAATATAAATGAATATACAAGTTTTAATGACTTATTAAATTACCATGAATTGAAAGTTCAAGGCTTTTGATATATATGGTCACCACGTTAGGAGACGTCTGGCTCATGAATGTGACGAAGTGAGTGACCCTGCTGCAGTAGAGAAAGAACGGGTCAGATCTATGAACTCCACCAATCCTGCTGTTGTACTGCGGAATTACATTGCCCAGAATGCAATTGAAGCAGCTGAAAGGGGTGATTTTTCAGAGGTCAGAGGTCATGATTGAAATGCAATAATTTAAACAATGACATTTTGTGGTGTATTCACCTAAAAAAAAAAAAAACTTTTCAGGTTCAACAGCTGCTTAAAGTTTTGGAGAACCCTTATTCGGTCAGTGCGGATCTGGAGCGTCCAGTATGGTCAGCAGGAAGTGGGTCAGTCCAAGCTGATGGCAACAGCATTAAGGGACAGGAAGTTAAGGAGAACACAAAAACAAAAGCAGCAGCTGATACTCACCAGATTCCATATAACAGTAAACCTCCTGCGTGGGCCAGAACGATCTGTGTCACATGATCATCCTAAAGCCTCCCAAACATCACAGCCCAATCCAATACAGAAAGAGAGAGAAAATGTAGAACATTCTCTTTTGAGTTTCTCTGTATTGATCAGGTATGTTAGTGTTGAGGGAGGCTGAGCAACACACAGCACTCCTGGTCAGATAATGCAGAAATGGCCATATGTCAATAGGTACAATAAATGAGGCATACTTTTTTATAATTTAAAAAAAATATTTTATTACTATGACATTTAGAAACTGGTTAAATTGTTCATATTTTAATTTCACCTCAGTTAATTCTGCAATTATCTGATCAATGAAGATTCAGATGTTCAGCTTAGCAGGCCTGTCTGAGTTTGAAAAACAAGGAGTATCTTGTGCACACATACAAACATGCATACTCTTTAATTATGCATTTATCACTTAATTTCACCCTACATTTTACTAGCTTCCACGTTTTTCAAAACAGAAGTTTAACAGAATGTCCGAGCTGTTGTTTTGCATAGGCTACAGTGAAAGGGGTTGCCTTGCTTATATTATCAAGCTCCAAAAATCACTATAAAAGTAGTCTGTGAAAGTCTTCTAAGGTCTTCCATACTATACATTTTGTGATTTTGTGAGAGGCATATTTAATTAAAAACTGATAAATAAAAGCAAATAGATTTAGCCACAAATCAGTCAGTCAGTTCACTTGATTTTGTTTAAACGTTCTTTTTTTATTTTATTTACAATATTTTCTATAATAAATTTAGTCTTAATATCATGTTTGTATGTTTGTTTGTTTTTTGCCTCTTGCTGTTCACAATTTTACATTAGGCCATTATTCACTATTAACAAACCACATTACAAAATGAGATCTAAATGTCATTGAGATAAGTTTAATCATTAACTTCATGCGAACACTGTGATTCTAGTAACAGTATACAACTGCCTAGCCGTAAGAGTTCTGTATGTACATTTCTGATATAACAAAAGATGAACATGATTACACATACATGTGTAGCCTAAAATTGAAAGGCTGAAGACATTATAGTTTTTGTGATTCAAAGTTCTTTGCATTATTTATTCAGTAAAGCAAATTGTTCTAAAACCCCTAAATGTTATTTGAATAATATTCAAAGCAGCTAATTAGTGAGCCATGGATTTCACACTGGATATGCTTCAATAATATTCAAGGCAAATATACAGTTTAATGGATGAATGGATTAAAAAGATCTGGAACTTATTTCACAGCGGTCAATATAACTGTCTGTCTTAAACTACTTTTAATAATTTTAATAATAATATCACAGTAAAGCAATGTGTTTTAGGAATTGCAAAAGTCAAAATGGCTACATCTCAGATTTAATATTTGTCAGGTGCATAACACCTGTTTTGAGTATGTGGAATCAGCACCTTACTGGGACAAAAAGAGACACAAAAGGAGAATTTTACATTCACATTTATTAGAGTAGTTGTCGTATAATACTATTTTACGAGCAGATTATTAGCACAAGTGAAATTTAAGACCTGGGGATCATATTGAAGACTGAATGCAAAGTTACTTAGTAAAGCAAATCTATGAGATTTTAGATGCAAATAGAATAGTACTCAAAGCAGCATGATGCATGAGACACGCTTAATTTCAGCCGGGCAGTTGCAAAATATACAATGAATGGATGCTATGTTTCAAAGAAATATATGTGTACCCCAAATTTGCTTCAGGAATGTACTTATGCACTATATGAACCTTAAATGCTTTTGCTTTTTGATGCCATGCTTATTTGTGAGACACATTTGATTTCACCTTCTTGGACTTGTAGTAAAAAGGTTTTGTTGAAGTCAGTGGGAGGAACCAGAGCCAAATGGATTTAACCAACCTCAACCTCAATCTCAAATCTATGTCCTAACATGGAGTAGGAGGCAACCTCAACATTTAAATATGCCTGATTCTAATCATGTGCTTTAACAAGAGTGAACCTGCTAATTTAGGGACAGAAAATCAAAAGCAGAAGTGAACATTGCATGTGAGTTTAAAAATTGCACTTCAAAAATAAAATTTTAGTGATTGTTTTTTGTGCATATAGATTTTGATAATATAGCATAGCATCTATTTTTGTATTTCTTGCTGGTGTCAACATTAATATTAATGACTGGTTTATGTCATTTTGTGTTATAAAGATTTGTAGGAGTGGAAATTGTTAGCAATTTTCCAGTCAAATCCAGTGGTGTCCATATATTTAGTGACAAGCTACAATGTTGCTCATTCTATTTCTGAGTAAGTATCAATACTAACACAAGCATATTTTTACAGACAATGCCAGTGTTTTTAAAAAAAAATTCTGTAACATGAAGTTCTAGGCAATACCATTTCAAGTACGTCTGAATCAGTCAGACTGGTAAATGGCAACAACTCTTGTTCTGGAAGATTGGAGGTTTTCTATAAAGATCAGTGGGGAACAGTGTGTGATGATGGCTGGGATCTATCAGATGCAGCAGTGGTGTGTAGAGAGATGGGCTGTGGGGATGCTATTGAGGCAAAGAGTGGTGCTTATTTCAGACCATTATTACCCCCAGGTCATCTAAAATGTAGATGAGTTTGTTTCTTCATCAGAACAGATGTGGAGAACTCTGCAGTGAATGGGTGCCGTCAGAATGAGAGTTCAAACAGCTGATAAAAACACCACAATAATAAGTCTGGACAAAATGTGAGTCCAGAATCCATAATAACACTTCCTCCAATGGAAAAAGTCCATCCCCTGTTGTCCACTCACATCAAAATCCACAGACATCTTTGTTTAGAACTGTTTTCACTTGTAAATGGTGCTTGATCTTTGCATATTTCTCTCCTCATTCAGAAGACATTACTTTTTCACTGGAGAAAGTAATATTATGAATTCTGGATATTTTAGCTGGAAGCAGTGGTTTGAAGTTCTAAACATTTTAATGGTTTACTTGTTTCTTACAAACATCCAGCTTTTTGCTTTACAATACATTAATTGATGGACTGGAGTTGTGTGGATTACTTGTGGATTATTGTGATGTTTTTATCAACTGTTTGGACTCTCATTCTGACGGCACCCATTCACTGCAGAGGATCCATTGGTGAGCAAGTAGTATCTAAACTGGTTCTAATGAAGAAACAAACTCGTCTACATATTGGATGGCCTGAGGGTGAGTACATTTTTAGCAAAATTCCATTTTTGGGTGAAACATTTCTTTAATGCAGCCATGTGTGGGACTTTGACCTACAAAAGAAGACAGTCAATTAATAGCCATTGTAAATGGAGAAAACATTGTTTTTAAGTAGTTAATGTGTTTATTTTACTTTCATTTATGTGGCTGTTAGCTTCTCTCAGGCTCATTAATGGACACAACTCTTGCTTTGGAAGAGTGGAGATTCTTTATAATGGAATATGGGGAACAGTGTGTGATAATGGCTGGGATCTATCAGATGCTGCAGCGGTGTGTAGAGAGATGGGCTGTGGGGATGTGATCGAGGCGAAGAGCTCTGCTCATTTCGGTCAGGGATCAGGGCCTGTATGGATAAGTGATTTACAATGTTCTGACACTGACTCAAGTCTAAGAGGTTGTAAATCAAGTGGATGGGGAAGAGGCACTTGTGGACATGAGAAAGATGCAGGAGTCATCTGTAAGGGTGAGTGCAAACCTTTTAACAGCAAACGATGTAGTCAGTATAGGACTGAAGTGATTGTATATGTGCTTTATGCTCAAACTATCATTATATATATAAACTTTCTTCTATTGTGTGATCAATAGATAATGTTAGGCTGGTCAACAGCACCAACTCCTGTTATGGACGAGTGGAGGTTCTTCGTGCCGGTCAGTGGGGAACAGTGTGTGATGATGGATGGGATGCATCAGATGCTGCAGTGGTGTGTAGACAACTGGGCTGTGGAACAGTTTTGGAAGTAAAGAATGCGGCTTATTTTGGAAAGGGTTCAGGACCAATTTGGATGAATAATATAAACTGTTTTGGGAATGAGGCTACATTGATGAGCTGTTCATATAATGCAACTCCAAACAGATGTGACCATGAGAAAGATGCCGGAGTCATTTGTGGATGTAAGTGCCAATGCTTTCATTTTAGTTAGTGAGGTAATACAGCAATGTGTTTTCTTCATGGAGACATTGATGACTTTTGATTTGATGGTTTTGGTACCCCAAAATGCCCATGAAATGTCATGCTCAAATATGCTGGTAACATGTAGGCTTTAAAGAATAGTGGATGCTCTTTAAAGCCTACATCCACGTGGAAAAAAGTTTGTTATACTGGTGCATTTGAGCAAGAAATCAAATTTTTCACACTTTCTCACATTCACTCAGCTGTTAAAGTCCTGTTGAGGGTTGAAGTGAAGGCTAACCTTGGTGTTGACCCAAACACTGCTGGAATCATAAATAAACTTTCAGAAGAGGTAAGAGTAGTGGAACGAGTGACATTTAGCTGTATCTTTCACTACTTTTTTGCTGTCATCTACTGGCTGTTTGTGTTATTATTCTGTTCTCTGTATTTACATTCATTTGAATCTCATAGATTGGGAAGAAGCTACGAATAAATGGAACTTTCTCACTGAAAACTCAGACCGATGGAAATATCTTCCATAAGAGAATAGGGGCTTCACCCTGATGAATTGGTAAGACATTAACCTTAGCTTTAAAACTAAAGTTGAAATCTTTAATTTAATATTTTCCACAATAACAATGTACAGTGGTGTTGGTTCCTCAGGTCATTTCTGGAATACAGAGAAGAAAACAAGCTAACACTATCTAATAGGACATTGATTGCTTCATCCTTCTTTCAGTCTGACCTTTGTAAATTAAATTAATAATTATCTTACATATTTTTCCATATGACAATGCTTTATAATATCCTTGTATGTTCTTCAGATTATAAAAAGGTAAGAAAGAGATGGTTCTTTAAAGAACCTTTGACTGAATGTTTCTTTGTGGAACTAAAAATGGTTCTTCTATGGCATCGCTTGAAGAACCTTTTGAAGCACCTTTATTTTTAAGAGTGTAGCCTAGAAGAAGGATTTTAGGATTTCCATTTATATTTATGGCTTTATAAGGAAGTCTAAATAAGAAACTTTTGTAACACCTTACTTAAAGCCTTTATGTAATATAAGACCTTTATAAACCATTATAAAGGTATTTATAATGTATGTTATAATATATTTTATCTTCTCATAAATAATTGTAACTAAAGTTAAAATGTATTATAGCCTAATATTTGCAGGTTCCTTGTTCCTTCTGAAATTGGTTGTTTGTCATCTATTTTAATGAAATATACTTTCTAAAGGTGTAACATACAATAGGTATTATAATGTATTATTAATGTGGTTATAATTATTCAAGATCATACAATACATAGTAAGGTACATTACAAGGCATTAAAAATATTTCATAATGCATTAGCCTAAAGGCTTTAAGTACATTCTTACAGAAACTATAGTTATCTTCTTGTTTTATTATATTAATCAGGGTAATGTTAAAAGTAACATTATTCATTGAAATAAGCTATTGTTGCTCTCAATTACTCAGACATATCTTTTAGCATGATCATCTTTCTTATAGTTTCTTTACAGCAGCACAGCTGTGTACCACATGGCTCATTTTCCTTCAAAGTAAGAGCTCAAACACAGCTCATACTTATAAGCAGCTTATTTTCGCCCTGCATATTGCATAATATAATTGTGATTCTCAATGTTTTTTCTCTCATGCCAAGCAGATTTGGGAAATTCCACGTCAGATGAGGCTTCTTCAGTCAGACTCGTTGACGGCAGCAGCTCTTGTTCGGGAAGAGTGCAGGTTCTCCACAATGGAATATGGGGAACGGTGTGTTACAATGGCTGGGATTTGTTAGACGCAAATGTTGTGTGTAGTGAGTTGGGCTGTGGGGAAGCGAAAGAGGTGAAGTTAGCAGAATATTTTGGGAAGAGCTCAGGACAAATATGGTTGACTAAGGTGAAATGTTTCGGGTACGAGTCCTCACTGACAGAATGTCCAGTGGGTGAAGCGGACAAATGGGGACAAAACATGTGCCTTCTTGACATGTATGCTGGAGTCATCTGTCAGAGTGAGTACAAAACCTTTTACAGTTTAACCTCATACCATGTGCTCAAAGTTTTCATGCTCTTGTTGTTTCTTATCCATGTGTCTGATCAGCCAGAACCAGGCTGGTGAGTGGCATAAACTCTTGTTCCGGACGAGTGCAGGTTCTTTATGATGGGACGTGGGGAACAGTGTGTGATGATGGCTGGGATCTGTCTGAAGCTGCAGTGGTATGTAGAGAGATAGGCTGTGGGGATGCCATCGAGGTGAAGAGTTCTGCTTATTTTGGAGAAGGTTCAGGACAAATATGGATGGATAATGTAAACTGCTCTGGAAACGAGTCTGCATTGAGCAAATGTGAATATCATGAATTGGAATTGAATGACTGCAATCATTCCGAGGATGCTGGAGTCATCTGTCAGTGTAAGTCAGTGTAAATTAAAATAGCAAAGTTTTTATATCGAAAGTCTGACTTTTTTCTTGCAATTCAGAGAAAAAAAGAATTGCGAGGTAGAAACTCAGAATTGTGAGATATAAATGCAGAATTGCGAGATATAAACCTGAAATTCTGAGGGGAAAAAAGTCAAAATTGTGAGATACAATACGAAAAAGTTTTACTCAAAATGAATAGAATTGTGAGATATTGCGAGAAAAAAAGGTCTGATTTTTTCCCCTCATAATTGCAACTTTATATCGCAGTTCTGAGAAAAAACTGAATTGTGAGATTTAAACTCAGAATTGCAAGAAAAAGTAAGAATTGTGAGGAAAAAAGTCTGTCAATCACAATCATTTTTTTATTTTTTATTCCTTGGCAGAAATGGGCTTCCATAGCTTTTTGTATTGTATTTCTAACTGGATTTTTTTAAGTAAACAACAATCAATATGATTGTAATTGCTTGCTGTTTCTTTTGTTTTCTTCTGCATGGTCATTAGCTGTTATGAGGCTGGTAGAAGGCTTTGACGATTGTTCTGGAAGAGTGGAGGTTCTCCATAATGGAAAATGGGGAACCGTGTGTGATTATAAATGGGATGGATCAGATGGCGCAGTGGTATGTAAAGAGATGGGCTGTGGGAATATTAAAGTATTAACATATGGTGCTTATTTTGGAGCCACATCAGGACAAATATGGATGGGCAATGTAAACTGCAATGGAGAAGAGGCATCTCTGAGCACCTGTGCAATTCAGGGATGGGGAACACATAACTGTTTTTTTGCAGAGCATGCTGGAGTCATATGTGGCCGTGAGTTGAAAATTGTAAATTCATGTTAAAGTTCAAACAAAATTGTGTCATTATTTGCTCATACATTTGAGAAGGTTCTTTTAATATCAACAAATCATGAAAGTTTTTTGTTTTTTTTCATCGGTGTTGCCATTAGTCCCTGTCAGGCTGGTGAATGGTAATAGCTTTTGTTCTGGACGAGTGGAGGTTCTTCATGACGGTCAGTGGGGAACAGTATCTGATGATGGCTGGAATCTAACAGATGCTGCAGTGGTTTGTAGAGAACTGGGCTGTGGAGATGTTATAACGGCAAAAGGTGGTGCTTATTTTGGACAGGGATCTGGCCCAGTATGGATGAATTCTGTTGACTGTGTAGGGAAAGAGTCTTCATTGATACAATGTAACATAGCTCACTGGCAGCACAACAACCTCGATCACCTGCACGATGCTGGAGTCATCTGCAGTGGTGAGTGCCAATCGAATTTTAATATTCACATATTCATATTTAAAAATATCTTGCAATAATTTAAGTAAAGCTGATGTGTTTTTGTGTGCAAATCTATATGACATTATATAAATAAATTCTACATCAGTAAACTAAAATTGTTGATTGTTGAGATTTTGCTCTTCCTTCCTATAATTAGTTTTTACACAAATTAAGTGTATTTTTTTTACACTTGAATTGTATGCTTGAAGAAACTAAAGTAATATTATTTTATATAATATTTATGTATTTGTGTAATATATTTTCATGAATAAAAAATTATAAAAGAATAAATATAACAAGTAATTGTAATGATTTATTATACAGAAATATTTCATTTTACCTCTTTGACACTGCTCTTTAGAGCCCTATTCCACAAACAGAGGGTCTGTCCAGGGCTTAGACACAAGTGTTAAAGTCCTGTTGAGGATTGAGGTAAAGACCGACCCCATGTTCGACCCAAACATTCACAAAACCATGAGTAAACTCTCGGAGGAGGTGAGAGCAGTGACAAGAGTAACAATGAGCTGCATTTTTCTGCAAACATCTTCTGGCTGTTCATGTTACAATTGATTCTCTGTATTTACATTCACTTGATTGAATGTAATTCATAGATGGAGAAGAAGCTGCATATAAGCGGACCTTTCTCACTGACTTGGAAAACTCAGAAAGATGGAAAAGTCTTCCAAGAGGTCTCCCAGAAAAAAAAGCCTGCAAGAAAATGTAACTGACTTGCTGGATAATATATTGTTATTGTATTGAAATTGTAGTTGTAATGAGATGTTTCATTTAAAATGTAGAATATTTTTTGACATTTCCACAGGTTATTGGTGGAAAAATTTCTAATTTTTTATTCTAGCTTTTTAGAAAGTTAATGGAAATTCAAATTCAAATATTATATTCCGTAAATGAAATATAATACCATAACATTTTAATATATAATACAAATACTTTATTTTTGAACATTTTACAAGCTATATGTTTTTAAATATTGGTATTAATGTTACTACTGTAGTTGAAAGTGCTACATTGGCAAATTCACCCAAGGGATATCTTTGGCAATACTGAATGTGATTGAAAAACAAATTAATAATGCATGGGTAATTCTTAAGTCATTAAAATATTAAAGCATGTCAGCTTTATGTGGTGTATATGTTTTTTATAATCATGTCCTGCTTGTATGTTTTAACAGCTATAATAATGAACAGCTTTCCACCAATCTAAAGACACACCATATGCTGTTTTTATATAGATTAGATCAAACCAGCAACCTCTGAACCCGTGAGGCAGCGCTCTTACCTGCGAGCCACAGATCTCTTACTGGAGCACATGAAGGAACTTATATCTGACTGTTTACCTGTGATTTCCCAATAAAGATGTTGACGGAAGCTCTGTCTGGGATTTAAACCCACGTCTCCATCGCAGTCTCATCCTCAGAGGACGTGTGTTTATCCACTGACCCATCATGAACTCTACGTTGTGTTTTGGCGTTTGAGTGACTTTGTTGGCTGAGATTGAGTTAAAGTAAGCAATAGTGGGATTTGAACTCAGGTCTCCAGGATTAAAACACAGCTTTAGCTCCTGAGCCACAGAGCCTGTGGAGGACATGAACATTTCGAACAGGCTTTTTATTGAGAGATTTGTTCTAAATTATGAATAACAACTACAGTGTTTGAACCAGGGCTTTCATGTCTGAGATTAAAGCCTTCAACCACTGAGCCACAGAAACTGTGATGTTACTCTGTTGTTGTTTTTACAGTCATTTAGATTTGAAGTTAAAGTAAAAAGTAAAAGACATTCAATTCATATGTGAACACATCTCTGTTGCAGTTTCATGAGTTAAAGTCTTATGTTTAGCCACTGCACCACTGTGCTTCAATCAAAACAGATGGTTTACTATCGTTTTATCTTGCTTGTAGTGTAAATCTCATTTTAAGGGATACAAATATCTTTAAAACTTGCTAGATTTGACCCAGTACACCCAAAAGCTGAACAATAATCCACCGTACCACAGAGATTGTGTTGAAGTCACTGTTTTTGGTCTTTTACATCAGCGTTTATTATAAGTTGTAGCAGTGTAATTCACAAAAATCACCACAGGAGGGCGAAACCAGGTTAAGATTATTATTAGACTCGATTGTGATTCACAAAAACCACCACAGAATGACTAATGAGACGACTCTGAAGTTGAACCGAGGCTTATGAACGCCCTCCTCTGATGAGCCACAGAGCCTGTGGAGGACATGAACATTTCGAACAGGCTTTTATTGAGGGATTTGTTCTAAATGATGACTAATTTTAGTAAGTGTGGGATTTGAACCCAGACTTTTATGTTTGCAATTGAAGTGTTTAACTGAGCCACAGAAGCTGTGAGGTTTGTTCTTTGTTTTCTTTCTGTAAAAAGCATTCATGACATCTGTGGGATTTGAACACATCTCTGGTGCAGGTTGATGTGAAGTCACGTGTTCAGCCTCTGCACCACTGCGCTTTAGCAGTTCTCAAAGTTTTATCTTGTTTGAATCTCATTTTAAGTGATAAAAGGATGGATTTGATCCAGTAATGTCATAGCCAAAGGTGAACAATTATCCACTGTATCACAGTGACTGAGCTGAAAACATTTAGTTTTTGGTCTTTTACAGTAGAATGTATTACTATCAGTTAGATTTTTTGTAGTTTAAACCTCAAGACTTTGTGCCTCTCGTTTAAATATTTATTAAGATTGTCACCATCACAAACACTCAACTACTGTCCTTGATAATCACTGACACTGCAAGAACTGTGAATTTAAAATCCAGAGCTGTTATTATCCGGCTAAACAAAAATACTGGTTTCAGTTAAGCTTTATGAAAGATCTGCTACTGAGACAAACAAGAAAATACTTTCCAATGAGAATAATTTGAAACTAGGTATTGTAACTGCACTCTTTTTTGATTTGTGTGAAATGCTTGATACTTCTCTAAGAGGGTGAGAGCATAAGAATATACCCAGAATGCATTGCAAAATCAACAGCCAGTCAGAACTATTCACACTTATCTGTGGATCCTTTTTTCCCTTCCTTTTAATAATTTAAAGCACACAACATTTGAACCCGGATTCTCCACAGGAGGGCGAAACTCACATCTCTAACACTTTATGTGACTAGGCTGCTCATGAGCCTCATGTGATCTTGGTCTGTCAACTAGTTAGTCTCAGTAACTACCAAACATCCTCAAAGCCCTCCGAGAGTGTCAGGAACTCCTGACTGAAGGCTTCTTTCTGCTCTGATGTTTGACGAGCTGTGAAGCTCATTTAAGATCAGTCACGGTAACGGTTTCATTTGGAACTGATTTATGATTTATTCATTTAAGACTAATTTAAAAGACACACAGAACATCCATTACTTACATTATTTCTGTTTCACAACTCTAACACATAACTGTTACTAAACAGCAAAGAAATAGTCATTTCTTTTAGACACCATTTATGATCATGTTTCATGCCTCCTGTGGTGATTTGCTTGTATTACACTGCTGCAATTTCTTTCTAAAGCCAGTGGAAAATCTTGCATTCAATTATTTTGCATTGAAAATTATATATTAAATTGATTATTCAATATCAGAAATATTTATAAAATATCTCTATTATTAAAAAAATTATCACTTAAATCTGTAAACTTGTATTAATATCAATTAAAATTTGAATTGCAGGATTTTCTTGTATTGTTCTGCTTATCTCACGATCTGTTAAAATATATTTTCAAGTCAAAATAACTTTGAACACCCTCTTGTAGCGAATTGTGGGAATTGCACAGAATTGATTTCAGCTCTAACTTGAGCCAGACGGAAACCTTGCATTTAATTATTTTGCATTGATTTAATATTTATTAATAAATTGATTACACTCTGAAGCAAAATAAAACAACAACAAAAACACACATCTGGTAAATAATTAATTTTTCTTAGTACAAATATATGATTAGATCTTCACCTGCCCATCCATTCTTCAAACTGCTTGTCCTCTTTAGGCTCGAGAGGATCTCGAGAGGATCTGAAGTATATCCAATGTCTTGGACCGCAGACGGAGAAACGCTGGACGCATGGCCAGTCCGGTCCATCACAGGGCTTCATCTGTAATATATTAGAATATATTAAAAAATTAAAGTCTCCTGTGGTTAATTGTGTGAATTACATCGCTGCTGTTTGTTCCTAGCGCTATAACTCGAGCCAGAGGATAATTTTGCATTGATTTAATATTATTAAATTAATTGTTGATTACCCTGTGATTTTACTGACTATTGGTTAGTAAAAAGATATTCTGTATACATGTAATATATTTATAAATTTGAGTCTGCAGAGTTCAGCTGCCCTGCCTGGTAAATTGAACGAATTACATTGCTGAGTTGATTAATTTAATTAAACATTTATTTTTTAGAAATATATTCTTAAATCTGTAATATGTAAAAAGACTAAAGTATCTTAATATTAACTTTAATAAAATATTTTTGCATGGATTACATAATTCTCTTGTGCATTTCCTTGTACTGTGTGATTTGTTAAAATACATATATTTTAAAACGTAAGAGGTAAGAATCAAAGCAACTTAACCAAACACCGCCCTCCTGTGGTGAATTGTGTGAATTACATGGCTGCTATTTTTTAAGGTTATAACTCGAGTCGGAGTTGGCATTAAATTTTTTCATATTGATTTAATATCATTTAATAAATTGTTGATTACCATATGATTTACTAGATGTTGATTACATTTGCCAAATAACCGCTTTTTATAAGCAGAAAAATATTCTTAGATCTGTAAATTACAAAATTGCAGTCAGCGAAAAGCAAATCAGCGCCCTCCTGTGGTGAAATATGTGAATTACACCAGAGCTCCTCTCGTAGAGGGAGACTCCCAACTTGAGCTAAAAATGCGTAAATCAATGGAGGAGATGCCTGAATACACTGTAGAAACCGCTTTTTTACGAAAACAACTCGACACATCGTAAATGAACTCAATCAATTTTGAGCTAGTGTCCGCTTCAAGGAAATCGCTGCGACAAGGCTATTATGGTCCAGCTAAATAAGTTGCTATATTATAGCCTACCTTTATCTCTTCTCCGACTGTCATACAGTTTTTTGCTGTCGTTGTTCCTCCTGAACCGTCTGATTTTTATTTCTACTGCTATAACTCGAGTTGGAATTATTTATTTTATACTTAAATTATATTTAATAAATGATCGATTATCCTGTGCAGCAAAAGAACATCTGTGGAAATATATTCTTAAATCAGTAAACAGAATACTGTATAGTCTCTTAATATTAACTTTAATTTAAAATATTTTTGCATGGATTACATAATTCTGTTGTGCATTTTCTTGTATTGTGGGATTTGTTAAAATACAAATATTTTAAATCATGCGAATCAAAGGAACGTAACCAGCGCCCTCCTGTGGTGAATTGTGTGAATTACACGGCTGCTATTTATTTTGGTTATAACTCGAGCCGGAGCTGGCATTAATTTTTTTTATATTGTTTTAATATCATTTCATAAATATTTGATTAACCTGTGATTTACTAGATGTTGATTACATTTGCCAAATAACCTCTTTTGATTAGCAGAATAATATTCTTAGATCTGTAAATTACAAAATTGCAGTCAGCGAAACGCAAATCAGCGCCCTCCTGTGGTGAAATATGTGAATTACACCAAAGCTCCTCTCGTAGAGGGAGACTCCCAACTTGAGCTATAAATGCGTAATGCGTAAATCAATGCAGGATGTCCAAATATGCTGTATAAACCGCTTTTTTTTTTTTACGAAAACAACTCGGCACATCATAAATTAACTGCCTGGGTGCTAATTTTCAACAAGTTTGTATGTCAATTGTAAGCTAGCGTCCGCTTCGAGGAAATCGCTAAATAAGTATATTGCACCTTTAGCTCTTCCCCGACTGTCATACAGATTTTTGCTCGTTGTTCCTCTTGAGCCGGCTGATTTGATTCTTGTATGAATAAGTATTTATCCGATTTAAACTCTTCTCTGTTTATTTTCAATGAAAAAGCACGTGTTTTTTTCTCACGTGGGAACTGTTAGTTTTCTCAGCGCATCGTCAGGATGATTACTAATCAGGAAGAAGGTTCCTATTACTCGGTTTATAAATATCACTCCAAAGTCTTATTAAATGATCAGACAACAGGTTATTCTTAGGTTGGGGGTCACAGCAGAAAAGCCAGTTGGTGGATGAGTCCCATGTAAAAGCTCCAATGACCCATCACTAGGACAACCCTAGATTAACAACAGCACACAACAAAAGACCTCATAAAGGAGGAACACATTGGAGAGGAACAGCAGCCTTTGGATATAGTTTCTGTTAAAGCTAAATGCTAAATATTATTAAATGAGTTTAAAACAGGAAAGCATTTTCTTACATGCATTGACAAGGGTTTTCTGTTTTTTTCTGAAACAAATTTTTTTCAGAGTATATTCGAGCGTCTATTGTGTAAGCAGAAGGCACTAAATAATGGTAAGGACTTTTTAACTTCTATTGACTTTTCATTTTCATAAAAGACAAAAAGAAAAACATCTGGTTTGCTTACATTCCTTCCCATTCTATAAACTTTATAGCCTACAAGTACCAAAAAGTCAAGATCTCAAAGTGCCAAACCTGCGGCAAAAAGCAAAAGAAAGCGCTCGTCCAAGAAGAGGTCTGTCAGTGCCAAATCCACAAAGACAGATGTGGATATTCTGAGTCCAGCTGCCATGGAGAACTCTACTACATCTCCCATAATGCAGTGGACTGCTTGGAGTTCAGAGGATTTGGCTGGACTGGAGCCACCAAGAAGAAAGGAAAAAAGGGCAAAAAACGAACAAGCAAAAAATGATATGTAGTTTTGTGCCAATTAAACTATCTGTAAATCTAACAAACATAAATCATTTATTTAATAGATTATTTCACAGCCAGTTGTTGAATGATAAAGTGGCCAATTTGATAAATTTTAGCCAAAAAATGGATTTGTAAAACGTTACATTTATCTCAGCTGACTCTTTCTTTTTGTATCCTATCATATAAAACTTGTTACAACCCAATAAATGTTGATTCCTTCAAACAGTTTTTTTGAAACTCTATAAAAGGTGTTAAAAATCAACTAAAGTTAGAAGCAGAGACTTTGGAATTAAAAAACAAAATTTTGGAATTAAAACAATAAAGTTGGAATGCCAGTGCACTGTAAAAACACCAGAGGGCAGTGCAGAACATATATATTTAATATTTCAGGTTAGATCAGGTTCCCTTAAGATAAATAATAAACCACCACCATTCAGTCAATTAGTTATTATTAACTTTATTGGTAACTTACTACAGTAGGTGTTACTCTCTCCAGACACCCATATGTGTACATAAAATAAGCCACATAAAATGTTACAAAAGAATGCCAGAAGCTTTCAAGTACATTCAAAGAGGCAAATGAACGTTAGTCGAAACACCAAAGCCTCTAGCGCAATTCATTGTTCCACTTAGCATATGCATGACCTGTAACAGTTGAGAGTGCTTGACTAAAGCTGGGGTTTGTTAGAAGTTTATCAGAGGGATTTTCCAAACACGGACACGCTCACACACACTTTTACAAACACATATAAACAGAGAGCAGAAGACAGGCTGCAGCGGCAGCTCATACAATGTCCCGGGTTCGTCGGATGGCGCAGCACAGCAGCATGCTGAAGATCATACCGAAGATCTGCCAATGAAAGAGACACGGTTAATATCTGACACCAGTGTGACCCGAGGAGAAAGACTCGGCTACAAGCTCTGGAGCGTCAAAGCTTTTTAGGTGAAAATGCACAGAACCATATGCATAAGTATCTCCTCACCATGACCACACCAATGCCAATCCCAACCCCTCCGATCACGTGAAGCCTAGAGGTGAAGATCTCCTTAATAGCATCTGGGCAGCTCTGGAGAGTAACACAAGAGGTAACAACGGCACATGGAAAAAGACATTTAACTGAAGAGATTTTGCTTAAAAAGAGTCAATATTTATTGAGTTTCTCATACCTTTGTGACAAAGGCTTGAAGTCCCTCCTCTTTGGGACAGGTTTCGGCTGCTCCATCAAAAACTGTTCCTGATGGTCCACAGCACCTCAGCTGAACATATATTGAGTTAGTTTAACATTAAGTTTTATTTCCTCCATTCTCTCAATGTTTCTGATGTTATGGTTTGAACAAACTTACTCCGTACTGAATGGCTCGCAGACTTTCTCTCAGCGCTTCCTGTTTAGATTCTTTGTATTTGTTGAACGCCTCGGTGTAGAACTGCTGGACATCTGACACGATCTGAGGAGGAGGAGAGAAATAAAGAGAAAATAAAAGAGTATAAGGAGAAAGGGGCCTTAAAAGAGAATTAACTTTCAGAAATATTAGCGATTCAACTGCACTGACACTAATGGATGAGAACGAATTGAACTCGACATTAACACTATTGTTTTGAGTAGAGCTGCCTTTATGTTATTTCATTACTGAGAGACTTTTGCAACTTTGACAGTTATTGAATGGAACTGAATCAATGTTTTTGATCTGCATAATGACACTATTGTTCTTTACAGCGGCTTTATAGCTGGATATAATTATTCGTATTTGATCACTGCCATCAATCACTGTACTGTATAAAGCGAAGTGCAATATAAATAAGTGTGACTTGACTCTCAGGAGAATGACCGCCACCCACCTTGTCTTGATTGGACAATCCCCAGATTCCAGCGGCCACCTCTGCTGCAAAAATGATGAGCAGGAACACAAAGAACTGGAGTGAGCAAGAAAAAGTGAGAGATGAAGTGAACAAGGACAACAGCATTTTCATTCTCATCCTGCCAACCAGAAAGAATAAATCATGCATGTGGGTCAAAACCAAAAAAATTTCCTTTATTGGAATCAATGGCTCCATGAAAAACCTTTAAAATCCATGGAAAATTTATAGTAAAAAATATTCTTTAGAAAAAAAATGGACTAAGGAAAGGAAAAATTAAGTTTATATTTTTTATGAACTGTTCACTAAAAGGTTCTTTGAGGAACCCAAAATGGTTCTTCAATGGCATGACTGCAAAAACCTTTATTTTTAACAGTGTAACTGCATCAATAATAGTAATGTAAAAAAATCTGTTTGTTTTATGCTGTAGGAGTAGAATATGGGAGGACTCACCAGTCCCAGCATGCAAGCCGATTCTCTTATTGCTCCACAGCAGCCGAGGAACCCAACCACCATCATGACGGCACCAACCACAATGAGGATGTAGACCCCTGAGGTGGAGAAAGACAACATTTATTATTCCCATTTACTTACCATTACATGTGTCTTACTATTTCTTTGGCTTCTCATTTGAAAAAAAAACAGCTTGAAGTCAAAGGCCTTTACTGTAAATGGCATTTTTGTCAGATTTAAAGGGGTCATATGATGCTATTTTAAAGATCATTATTTTGTGTATTTGGTGTAACAGAATATGTTGACATGCTTTAATGTTCAAAAAACACATTATTTTTCAAATACTGTACATTATTGTAGGTCCTCTATGCCCCGCCTCTCTCAAACACGTAGTTTTCAACAAAGCCCCTCCTTCCAACAAGCGCAGTCTGCTCTGATTGGCCAGCTGACCCAGTGCAATGTGATTGGCCGAACACCATAAGCACGCGTCGGAAATGTAACGGCCCTTACCATAATCGTGAGCTTCAGCTTTCAACATAAATGTAAAGACAGTTAATAATGTTGTTAGTTTTACCATCAGTTCAAGCCCGAAAGGGCAACAGAGTCGCGTGAAAGACACTGATGATGCAGTACACAAGCTGCGGTTAAGACAGCTGACGTGCTATGATTTCTGACAGACAGTTCACTCTCCTGTGATGTGACCCAGTTCCCCTCACACACACACATGCGACGCGTTACTCTGCGCTGCTCAAAACTCCGCATTTGAACAGTCAATAGCAAATACCAGATTGTCATAGCAAAGTCAGAATGACCTCCTCTCCTAGGTTCAC